GGTACAGTTTGGTGTACTTCTGAAAAGCCTCTTCATAACATTTCGGTTTAGCATGTTGGTGTACTATTTTAAAAGAGGCTGAAAAGTCTGTAGCATAGAAGTGTTTTTGCCCCAGTTCTAATGTTATTGTACGAAACATGCTCACAAATGTCAGTGTTTACTGATATTTACCATGTTTACTGTCTTAGTTTGCCATTTTGATTTGCTACCTTTTGCTAATGAGCTATTACCAACAGATATTTAGTCATTAATTAAAGCTGTGATTTTAATGATGATGTTGTAAGAAAAAGTATGCTAATTTGCTTGATAAGCCTAATGTAATAGCACACTCGGAGTAAAAAAAAACCCGCTGAGGCAACACTGACAATTTAAAAGGTTTTAAAAAAGTACAACTGTTAAACCTTATCTTTAAATCAAGATAGAGTCCAGATATCCATCAAAAAGAGGCGCTTACTGAGAGTGGGTTTTGTCAGCAGGTACATGTAAACAAGTCAGCTAGCTGACATCTACAGAAGCTAAAGCTTAGCTTATTCTGGCTGAAGTAGTTCCAAATCACCAAACTTTAAAGCACTGCTAGAGTTTGTGCATAAAGATGAAAACTAAACACCGGTTATATTTTGGTAGTTAGTAAAGTTTGGCTAATTAACACATACAAATGAGCCGACTTTTAACAAGGTACACCTTGTTAATACCAGGCCGGGCCTGTGACGGCCTATATGCTAGTTATAACATCAATTCAACAAGTTTCTGGAAACATTACTCAGAGATTTGTCTATTTTGACGTGATAATGTCATGCATTGGTCTTGCTCTCTGGAAATGTTTTACTCTTCTCTGGAAAAACTAGGAATTACTGTGCAGAAAATCACAGTAGATCATCAGTTTCTAAAATACTCAGAGATCATCTTGTCTGGAACCAACAACTGTGCCACATTCAAAATCTCTCCAATCACCTTTCTTTCCCATTCTGATGCTCAGTTTGACCTTTGGGGGGGTTATCTTAACCGTGTATACAAGACTATAATGCAATCACTGCCACATGATTGGCTCAACAAATATTTGTACCACTTCAAATCAGGCATTCTTAGGATAATACTGGCACAGTGGCACTCTCTTAGAAATAAAGGGTTTTCAATAAAAGTACTCAAGGATCATTCAGTGAGGAGCAACATCTGCAATTTCTCCAGTTGGCAAGGCAACTGTGATAATGCGGCAGGAAGAAGACATAAAACTGCAGCCAAGAGAATGTCTGGGATGACACGATCCAAAATACAAGGTTAGTTAAGAAGATGTTGTGTAGTTTTGAAAAAGTATAATCCCAAAATTATGGCTAGACAGGTATTTATAATTTGCTGAAATAATAGTGTCTGGGACAGTTAACCCAGACGCTGTACTGTACACTGAGTTTTTAAAAGCCTACTTAAGAGGGATGCTACTAATGAGCATTGCTTTAAAAAGTGTTGCCTCCTGTAAATGAGTTCCTCAGTCAAAGCAGTAAAAGCTAGGACTGAAAAACACAGTTCATCTCCTATGGAGGTAACAGAGGTGTGCATCACATATTTAATGTCAATTAACCAAATGTTCATGCAGGAAAGAGAAAGGGACACCACAGCCAATAAGATTCCTTCTCAGGGGAACGTGAAAGTAAATGAAATTTCATGACAATACAATGAATAGTTAGAAGAGATCTTTTCGTCTCAACCCAACAGACTGACATTATCTATCTCTACAACTGTGCCACTTGCAAGTGGATAAAGCAAATAACGGAAAACAATTAACATTTTAATTAACTCAGCAATGGAGATTCCTCCGAGGGTGCTTTGACACTGTGAGCAGCAGTGTAGCTTTAACGCTGAAAGGAGGATTAAAATCCAAATAACTATATCAGCTGGTCAGTGCACTGTGCTTGCATGAGTCCTCTTCACTCAGGCCCACATACCAGCTCCTCCCGGGACACGGTTCACGTTTCTGTCAGCATAGCAGCAGTCACAAGAGTCAGCTAGCATGGATTCTCGCATAAAGATAGACAAGTATAGGGGCTGTAGATTTAATACGGGCCAATTAAAGTTTCTCAGCTCTGTCGCATAGCTGTCCCCTCTAGGAGGCAAACAGTGGCATCCAGTCTGCATCTCCAAAATCAAAAGTGTTTAGGCAAAATGATGAGATTCCAGCTCAAAAGAAGAAAAATGATCAGTTGGAAACCGTATTTTTCTTCTTTGGAATCGGGACTCTCTGTGGAATTTCCTGATGTGAACCCCCCCCCCCCCCCCAACCCCCCAAAAAAGGACTGAGTAGAAAAAAGTGAGTGTTATTTGGAAATGCAGAATCGTTGCCAATGGTTTCTGGACAGCAGGGAGTTGAACATGAAAGCAGAGCAGCCTCTTTGCATTCAGTCGAAAACAAACAGCTTTTAGTCAAACGTTCTCTTTGTCTCTTATAATGAATGAAACATCATTTATTTGCTCATTAATAAGCAAGTTATGACCACACAGTAAGCAGGACTCACTGTGTGCGACTAGACTCGCTCTGAACAATATCTGGATTCCAGTAAAATATTAAAAAAATGTTGAGAAATAAATGAGCTTTTGTAAAAAACTGTCATTTTATTTGCCAATATGTGGTTAAATATGCCGTCAAAGCACAATTTAAGGTTGCAATGCGTATTAACAAGGCTATGATCGTGATTTTTAAGCCACATTAAAGTCAAACCTCTACTGTTGATTTACTGTTTTCCAACCTGAGGTTGGCAGACTTAACCATAGGCAGGAGAAAACCAGACTTTGAGAGCAGTATGGTTTGGTAGAAGGGAAAGGGGATTCCTATTTTCTTTTGGACAGTGCACAACTTGAAAAAAAATTGAAATTTGAATGGAGTTGAATAGAGCTGACTTTAGCTTGAACACGTCAGTATATATTTTACCTTTTGTCTAATAAACTGGCAATACTTTTCTTTGCTACAATGTGAGCCTGCACACACAAAAACAGCGGAGCTGTGATTATTTAGAAAAAAAAAGGTTATTCACAATCAAATTCAAATTCAAATTTTATTAGTCACATACACAGTCGGAATAAGTGTCTGTTGTTACACAACTGATGCTATTTATTGTATGTTGGGGCTCAGTTAGATCCCACTGAGGTTAAATCCTTCTAAACACCTGACCATTCAAACCGAATAACAGATGATAACCTTGTTGATTGTGACCTGTTTGGCCGGGAATGTTGTTGACCACAATCGCAGACATAAAGCATATGTAAAGCTCTCAGATTTACAGCTGAGTTTACTCAGATACCAAACAGATACCACGTATTCCCTGCAGCGGCCTCCGAAAACATCACCTCAGCTCACGATCGTGTTTACATTCATCTTGTAGATGCAACGTGTGAAATTGTCCCATCTCTTCGGTCTAAACCGACTGAAACTCATCATGGATGTTGTTTTGTAAATCCTTGGCTTATGCAGGCTGTTGGCTCACACAAGAAACTAATTGCTGTGTACCACCGTTAACAGCGCTGCCAACAGCCGCAGACTCTCTCCCTGAAATCAAATCCCCCAAAACCCCTGTGGGGACGTCTGTGGCAATGAATATATTTATCCATGTTTGCGCTAGTCTGATTCAAACATGGATTATCTCAAAACTAACAAATCTCTGCCTCTCAGGCCACATTCGTCACTTTGGCTCACTGTGAGTGAGAAATGTTTGAACGAGGAAGGCGGATCAGTCCTGTGACACCACATGACACAAAACCTTTGAACTTAGGTCAGTCCCACCTGCAGATTGCGAAACTATTCGGTGTTTTCGCTTTGATGTGAAAGCGGCTAAAACATGGTGGGTGGACAGTCACCTGACAAATTTATGACAACAAGTGGTGGTGGTGAGTCTACTTGGGTGACCTCACTTGCTTTATTATTAAGTATTAGTGGGACACTCAAATATAGCAATGCCAGTGTTGCGTTTTCAGGCGCAGATACAGTTTCAGACTTCAGTAATGCTTAAACAAGTCTGTGCATAGTGTCAGAGTTTAAACATGGTGCCACTGCAGAAGTATGGATCCATGTTTACACACTGTTGCAAAAACATTAAAATTCTTCATTTCTGTTTTCACTAAACATGCAAGAAGAGCTGAATTTATAAGAGATTGTTTCTGCATACTGTTTTTACTTATTAAGGTCTTTGCTTTCAATCACAATTTTGGCCTATAGCGACTTTAGGATAAATAAAGTTGTTATTTGCAGCCACCCCCTTACCACTAGGGGCTGCCACAGCAGATAACTCCACATGTTTGATTTGACAGAGTTCTTAAACGGATGCCAACCCCCAAAAACTTGTATCTCTGGCAAGAATCAAACCAGCAACCACTACACCACTGCAGATAAAACAATTATTATGCCCCATTCTGGGTTGTTATAATTATCTTCCTGGAGTTTAACGTCATGATCCGGAGTCTGTTTATCAGTAATCCCCCAAGTTTCACATTTTCCTCTCCTGGTGCGTTTCCTGTATCTTGTCTAGTCCCCATCTCTGCATTAGAGAGCCTCTGTTTAGTTATTCCTCGTTTTATTTAGTTAGTTTCTCGTGTGTTTTATTTAATTTTGCATCTTTTGTCTCATTTTCTTCAGTTAGGTTCAGCTGTGTTAACGGGTGTTTTCCATACCCCTGATTACCCCACGTGCATATTTAATCCCTTATGGTTTTCTTAGCTCATTGTTGTGCTGTACTGTGTCAGCTTGTTAGTGCCTCCCTCATATGTTCCTGTTTCGATTACTTTGTGCTGTTCTTTGTCAGCTAACTGGACTTCCTGTTTCAGTTGACCAATAAAACACTTAATACTCTATTTTGTTTATAAGATATTAAGAAAAAGAGTTGGATTTACTTCCTCAGTAATTGTGTTAAAATTATGATTTAAAACTGACCAAAAATAATTATGATACTGCAGACCAGAAATACTCAGACCAGCCCATTTTACACCACCAACCATGCCATGTTCAAAGTCACTTCAATTACCTTTCTTCCTCATTCCAGTGCTCCGTTTGACCGTCAGCAGGTTGTTCTAATCATGTCTACATGCCTAAATGCACAGTGTTCCTGCCAGGTGATTGGCTGATTACCTATTTGTCTTAATAGGCAGTTGAACAGATGTGCCTAATTAGGTAGTCATGAGTGCATTCCTCATGCTTATGCTGTTACAATGTTGGATGCTCATGTGAAACACTGCCAAAGTTTCAGGCTTCATGCTGCTCTGAATGCTCAGTTTCAGACCGGTTTCTACTCTTGGCTATGTGCCACTGTACATCAATGAGAGTGGAAATCCCTGATATAGTACAGCTTATTACTGGATCATATTGTGCCAGTGCAACACCTCAAGATAAATATTTACAAGTGAGTCATGCAAAACTACTCTACTAAAGTCCAGGAATTAAAAATATGGGGTTGGGTAAAAAAAACACAATACGTCCCCTTTATACATATAAAACTGAAAAGAAAAAAAAAGAAATAAAATAAAAAGCAAAGATTTCATCCAACATTTCTGTCTGTGAGCTAATTTTGTATGCCTGCATATATACGTCGTTAACACTGGTTCAGCCTTCCAGAAATCCAGCGTCTTCTCAGAGATTCTGACAGGTGCGCTATGGCTGCTCAGCAAGTGTCTATTTTGGGGCGAGTTTGGGAAGGGGCAGTGACATATCGGGACTGAACTGTGAGGGGAGTAGGCTGAGATGGGAATGGCGAGGAGCCTGAATCAGAGCAGTAGTCCAGTGAGCAACTCTGCTCTTCATAAACACATGACTGTTGTAACTACACCCACAAATACTCAGAACTTCGCTTCTGTTTGATGCCATTATCTGTAAGCTCGGTCATTACTCACTTTCTAAGAACATCATCATTTTAAAAAAGCAAACCTGTTATGCCTGTTTTGTTAATGTATTTTTTGTAAACTGGGGGAAGTAAATGAATGACACGAATTAACGAGACTACAAATTAAACCAAACAATCTGTAACTAAGACGTGAGCAATTATCAATGAAAGTAGGTGAAATGAATCATCTTTTCAGAAAGATGCAAAGATTTCTCGAATTACACCGCCTTCTAAGAGAAACTATGTTATGAATTATGAAGGCATAAATAGCTACCGATTATAATTGCTGTCTTAGAAAAAGGCAACATAACAAACAAGGTGACTAAAAATCACTGAAGCCTCAGTTAAGTTTGTACCAACAATGAGCGGAAAAACAAAACAAAACACTTCAGCCTGGAGCTGACGGTGAACTCCTAGGAGCAGGTCAGATTTGGAGGTGTCCTTACCGAGCCTCCTGATGAGGTCCGTCGTCTTCTCATTCACTTTCCTCCTGTGCTCCCTGGGACTGGTCTTGCCGGTGCCTACGCTTAACATGATCGCTACATAAACTCCAGCGAAATAAACTTAAGCTTGTAACTTTAGGGGTTTGAGGAAGCTGAGGGCGCAGGTGTCCTTAAACTGCCCCAGACAGACCCCCAGCCCGCAGAAAGAGAGCGAGCGAGAGAGAGAGAGAACCGACCGCAGGAGTCCCCTCCCCAGATTTGCTACTCATGTTTGTGCGCAGGACTCCAAACGAGTCGCACGCTTCTGGAGCCAACACCTTACTCCTCCTCCTCCTCTTCCTCTTCCTGCCCCAACGAAAACGTAAAGGGACCTTGGTGGTGGATCAGGTATGGTCAAGTCCCCCTCCATACATTAATTTGTATACACACTTGTTTAAATGGTTTAAAGCGCACTATGTGCGCACAGTCTCAACAGTTGCGTATCAAAGCCTTTTTGGTTAAATCTGTTCTTCAAAAAAAACCAAAAAACTTTTTATGGGACCTTTTTGTTTTTTGTAAATAAAATAAATAAACCCAAATATAGACTTGTTTGAAATGTTTATTTCGAGTTTATTTTGCGCGGATGCCATGCTGTATTCCAAAAAGAAAAATTGTGCTGTTTCACCTACCTTTTCATATATAAATTTTAAAAAGCTTGCATACTTACATGAATATAGTGGCGTGATTAACGTCCACAGGCAAAGAGCAGGTTACCCTTTGTCTAGGCTCAGCAAACATTTAAACAGCTGAAATCTTTTCTTTCAGAGGAGGTAAAGCAAACATATAACCCTGATTGTTCAGGCAAACTTTCAAATATGTAAACACCTTCCTCTAAATGGAGATCAAGAGCAGAAAAAAGTGCTTCCACTTTAGTAAAACTGTTCCCCATTCAAATGCCAGTGACTGAGGAGCTGGCGTCCCCTGTTGGTTATTAAAAGTAACTGCTTAGCTCTCAACAACAACAATCAGTTCCGTAATGCCACATTCATCATCTGTGGCCAGTATGTTCATGCTGTCTGCACGGATTTAAAGGGTTGGTTATGAAAGTGAAAACCTGCACTGCAGTCTTTTTTAATTTTTTGATTATTAGATGGTGCTCACAGTACCAGAGCACTGCCTGCAAACTTAATTAAGTCTTAGTAATGGAGTTATAACAGAGAGCAGAGAGTGACAGAGCTGAGTCACAGCCATGTGCAAAGGAAACACACACGTACAGGTTTGGTAGGCTGGGTGGATGGAGCCTAAGGTGATGTTTCTTTAACCTGGTCATTTAATGAAGCTGGTGGATTGACTGTTTCCCTTACTAAAACACCCATCTGGACCTGCTGTCTGCACAAACTCCTCCTGCACCTCCTCTTCAGGCCCGTGCACCAGCGTATAATAGTATATTACACATATCTTTCATCTCCGCTCAATTGCAGCAACTACTATGTTGGACAGGGTGAGAGATTAAGTCATGCCTGCTAATCCTCACAAGCTGTGATCTATGCAGGAGCAGCTCTGGTGCTGTAGCTGCGCACCGCTCCTTGATTTGAGAATATGGGAAGCCCTGGTACTGTTTCTCAATCTCCATGGTCATTAGGTTTCATATTAACTAGAACAGATCACCTCCCCTCTCAAAGGATTTCCCAGTTTGCCTTGCTTATTTGCCAAAGCTGAAACTCTGCCTGCTTCTATTAGTAGAAACAGTGGGCCTGTGTTGTTTGTAACCAGTCTTCACTGGCAGTGTTAGGAGAGCCCAGTCACCCAACATAAGGCCACAGACTGAATAACCCACTTCTTCCATTAATGGAAGCAAACTGCTTTGTGAAAACTGGACACAATTTGTGGATGACACAGTGAAGCATGCACAGTTAAGGATTAACACAGAATAATGACTAACTCTTTAACCATTGTGACATCAAATATGTATGCATGTAGTATGCACATGTAAATAATGTGCATCAGAAAACAAATAAAACAAATTAACCACATTAACATATTCCACATAAAGGTTTCAACCTTTTTCCCCACAGCATTTTATTTCCATTTGTTTATTTCACACAAGCCGACAATACAGAAAAGTTGTGAATACTGTAGAAGATTATTGGTTTGGCGAGTTACACCCATCTAGAGCTTGCTAACACTAGTTAACTAAAGGGAAACTGGAAAGATCAGGCGCGGTCTACTTCCTGAAAGCAAGACAGTTGCTCAAACGTCTCATGTGAAGGACTGTTTCAAAAAACGAATGTTTTCAGTCTGTTTGTGTATATTTTCGGTACTCTGACTTGTACAGTTCGACTAACTGTGGCAGTACTTGAAATGTGTACACTAATCGCTTTAGTGAAACGAGAAAATCACATCGGAATAAAACAGCCCAGGAATTACGCGGGCCCCATATGAACACGTTGGCCTAGTTAGCAGATGGCTATCATTACCAGTAGCACAGCGCATTGTAGTTGCTTTGCTGCAGTTGAATCGACAAACTGACACAAGCCAAACAATTTTATTTAAAAACGGTCTATCACTCATGGTTTAATACTTTTTATATTATCGCTACACGGTAGCGTACGCTAACTTACGTTAGCTTACCTAGCTTTAGTGCAGTATGGCGTTTTTCGTCATACTCAGACCGACTAGGAGCGTTTTCTGTGACCAATGAGTTAAACGTTAAGTTTATTTTTGTTGTAGTACGTATGGCTTCGTATGTATGTGGAGTAGTGTAGTGTTTAGTTTGGGAGCCACGACACGTAGCGCCCGTTGGCTAACGTTTGGCTAACGTTAGCTAGCTAGCGTCTCCTTAGCCGTTAACACGAGACAACAGTGTAAAACTAACACTGCGTATCAGAACGTTGGCTCCGCGGAAAAACTCAAACGCTGATCTACACCACTTCGTCAACTGCTAATAGGATTATTGAGCAAGTGTGAGATCGCCTGACCCACCCTTTAACAACGAGGGGTTCGGAACAGCGCTCTCCACGGCAGCTTCACAATAAATGTCGTTTGTTTACGCTGATTCCAGAGTTCCCCTGGCCCTCTGCCCCACAACATATCACTCCGCACAGAAGAGACTTTTGACACGGAAACATTCAATCTCTTAAATGGCGCCTGAGCAACGCATTTTTATGGCAGCTGACATGTACAAAAATTTATGTTTTGAATAAGCTGTATTTACTTAGTTTCTCAAATGAACGTCGAAGACGGACTAGATTCCGCAAGACAGTTTGTTGTTGTAGCTTAAAATACAGGGGGGGTTAATTGTATGGGTGATTTTGTCCTATGTTGGCTGGATGAGTAAATAAAAACAAAGCCTATTATTGTGTGTTTAAACCACGCATATTTGCTCCAGTTTGCAAATCACTTATTTCAAATGTAAACAGATTAACTTTTAGTTCTTCAATTGCAAACACAACCCCTTCATTTGTAAATAGTAGCGTCCGTAAAATGCCCGGGACTGCTTTCTTTGCGTGGATTACGGTCCTGTGATTGACTATTGATCTGCCCAATCAGAAAATACCTTGAGCTTAGCAACAGCAAAATTATTCTCTGGTCCAATCAACAAAGAGTAGGGTAGGCTTTAGCGGACTCGAGATCCTCTTAATTGATTGGTCAAGAAGCTCGCCAGTTATGGTAGACTTGTGGGCTATGTAGTTTGGTGCGAAGGTCTCCGCCAAGGCTTCGCCGAAACGAAAACGTCATACCCCACAATCCATCAGGAGTTGAAAGCAGTAGCATGCGCACGGGTAGAGGCGGAGCTGGTATATAAACACGAGCTCCCTCTTCTTGAGCGGCACACTGGACACTGTTGTGACGGCGGAACGCTGTCTCCGGGTTAACGATAACTCTGACAGCATCGAAACAGTTAATGGTAGTTAGCGACAGTTGCTCTGACAAACCCTTGGAGGAGTAACAAGTGTTTACTGTTCGGAAGTTTACTTTTACTTTGCGCGCGTTTGTTTACAAACGCAAACAATCTCAAAAGTTTCTTTATTGATTACGCGAGATTGTAGAATATTTTTGTTCAAATTAACGTCTTTTTAACGAACTTTAAAACTCAGTCACGGGAGCATGAATATCATCTAAAAATGTGCTAAAGTGGAGCCATAGGAGCGGAACACCAGGATGACTGAGCCAGAGGAGACGACCCATCACCTGAAAACTTCAGCCAGCCCTTCAGGTGGGAGCAGTGGAGACGCGTTGGAGCATCTCCCAGCTAGAAACCATGATGGACCACAAAACGGCGACAGGGGGCGACAGAGCGAGCATAAGCAGGAGCAGCGGGCGGAGAACTGCGAGGATATCAACACAGACAAGTTACGGCAAATGAAAGGCGGGCAGAGGGAGGTGTGCCCTGGGTTAGCAGCCGGAAACGAGGTCCAGAAGTGCCCGATTTCAACTCAGCCTCATCAGAAACGCAGCATCCAAGGAGCGACAGGAGACCACCACACCACACAGGGAAAAAACGCCCAAGACAGACGGCTGCAGGTACAAGTGGATAGTTTGCACATCGACTCTGATACGGGCTTAGATGCGCGTCTAGGCAAGAAAAGGCACAGGCGCAGGACCTCCAAGAAGAAGCGCCACTGGAAGCCGTATAACAAACTTTCCTGGGAGGAAAAGAAAGCCCTAGAAGAGAAGGAGACTGCCAGAGCTTCGCGCATAAGAGAGGAAATGTTCGCCAAAGGGCTCCCGGTTGCCCCTTACAACACAACTCAGTTCCTGATGGACGAGCACGA